ATGGGTATACATGCTTCCTATGGTAGTAACCGACCATGAAACAGTAACTACTTTTCGGTGGTAATGTGTCACACGTATGTATGTGAGAGTAGGGCGTATCATTGCGAGCCCTCGACGTATGAGGTGTAACGACTAACTAAACAATCGCCCTTTTTTTTCTAGGCGGAAATGACTAAGACCGTTGTCGCTATAGAACCACTAAGGAGAATTACTTATACGCTCGTTGTTCTGGTTCGAATCACTTCCCATGGACTACTGTAATAATTATTATGACTACGATAATTATACGCTTTTCATTAATAATAATAATAATAACAAAAAACGATAGTAACATTAACGGACTTTTGTGAAGTCTGTTCGAAAGATACTCACAGGCGATTTTATTCCCATGTACATATTGTTATCATTGTAATATGCACGCAGCATAAGTACACGTGATTAACGAATGTTGAAATAAAATATGAATCGGTCATAATAATTGCAGAAAGAAAATATGTGTATAAACCCAAGTTTTACAGGTGGCACAACATAATGTCTAGGCAAGACTGGGAAGGAGCTAGTTGTCAATTTTGAATAAATGACCTTATTATCTACCTGTAACATAGTAAAGTAGCCAAAGAACTCGAATCTCTTTACAGAATTTAAAATTGGACCATCCTATGTAATTAAAATAATACCTTGAAGCTTACACAAATTAACCGGTAAATTAACATGGTCCAAATTTATTTAAACCTCTTTTTTACTTAAATTTTGCCTATACAAAACCCTTAAAAACAGACCACTTGCAATCCCCTTGAAATACAGATATTGTAATAAAAACATGGTTTTAGTTAATTTGAATATATATTTTTAAGAGTCTCTAGAGCTTATATATTTACATTTCTAATAAGAGTTAAAAAAAAGTTATGATATATGTATACCAAAATTGTACGCCAATGACCCTGCAGTCGAGGCTTTTGAATAATAATAATTAAAAAAATTATGATATTTACCATACATCAAGAAATTTAGTGCAAAAAGGTGACATGTACACATGACCTGAACTAAATCCCATTTCTGCATAAAATACTAACTTTAACGGCTGATATTTCCATTATGGTTTTATAGTCTAATCTTGTTCATACACAATACATGTGTTCAAGCTAGAGAAAAAGAAATCCAATGATAACTTAACCTTTGTCAAAAATTGAATATGTCCCCTTTCTGCAGTAAGTGATTCATGTACATTTTATTCAACGCCACAGTGAGAAAAAAATGTCATAGATTGTCATTAGTGTTAGGTGGTGCCAATTTCAAATATATATCTTTAAATTCTGTTATAGTTTATACTATCATGTCTTTTCCATAAAAATGTAAAATTAACGAAAAATTATATATTGTACCTTCCAGTTTTGCAGTAAAGCTAAAAATAGATTATAATACAAAACATATTACACAATAATGTCAATATAGATGACTATCATCGAAAAAAAAAAATCAGAAAGCTAGTCGAAATTATAAAAAATGTTAAAATTGGTGCTTTATATATTTAATAGAGCGGTAGGTAAAGTATATTTATAAAGTTTTTGCATTTAGGGCGAGTTACCTAATCTTGACTTATCTGGGTTTTATAAAAGTAAATAATTATAGGAAAACATTTTCAAGGTTGAACAATTCGAAAAAGTTTATCTTTAGTAAGTTTATTATGTATATAATTTGCTAGTTAGGTATGCTAGATTGCTGATTTTTGTGTATAATCACTGATTAAAGATAGTACTATCTGTTATAATCATAACCGCACAAACTATATAATAATGTGTATATAAGTACAAAATAAACTGCTAAAAAAGTCGTTTGTTTTATTGAACAGCAAATTTACGGTTTCCCTCTTATATTTTTAAAAATGATAAAGAGTCTTACACATGGCAACACATTGTTAAATATTTGTAAAATAATCGCCAAGTGTAAAATTTAAAAAGTATATCCTTGTTGAGAATTGTTTTTCAAATTGACTTTTAATTATGAAAATTGAGAGGTACCTGAAATTAAGTTGTGTCTGTCTTTGATTAATTCTAGATGGGTGACCAACCGGGATTTTTAACATCGGCCCATTCTACGTTTTCTACCGTTTGTGCACAAAGTACAAAACAACAAGAAAGATAATGACCTAAGTTTTCTAAGCTCAAATAAAAAATATGAGTTTTGTAGTGAAAAATTAATTAGTTGAGTTAATAATTATTTTTCAACGTGAGCCATGAGGACAATAAAAATATTCTCTGTTACTTAATCAATTTTAATGATAATTCTAAAATATTTATAACAAAACTATATTATTATATTTTTTTAACACCTAAGAGACCCATAGTTCAGGCTAACAGTTATATTCAAATAACGTTTGTTCAATCACTCACGGTCAGACAGAAATCAATAAAATTAATAATTCAAACAAATATTTGAAATATTTTTAAAATATTTGTTTGGCCATATATTATTATACTTTATATTATTATACTTTATTATTATTATACTTTATAGGTTATATTCATGTTATAACTCACAATTAAAACTGCAGAACTATAACAAAACCATTATTATTGCGATTATGAGCCGAATCCTATCAGTAGTTTCTGGGACATAAATTTGTAACCGAAGAGTATATATATATATATATATATATACATTATTATACACATGTATATATCTGTCAAACCATTACCACATAATTAAGTGCATATACAAGTATGTTGTTTGAGAGAAATCGTATTATAAATCTCAAATAGCACCCGTAATAATGTTGGTCCACTATAAAACTTCAAGAGGACTGCAAAGAGCCTCGTAATTAGATCTCACTTACTGGTAGTTGACCCTCGTGATTTATACTCGATAGGTTTTTGTTTATTTACATCAGGAGACTTTGTTAATCAAAAATTAGATATTGCCTACGAACCCCAATTAAACTACTGGTCTATAGTACCCCACATGTGTAGTAGACGCGTCTGTCTAATGGTCTCTGGAGAGAATGTCGAGTAACAAAAGACATTTGTTTGATACTCGTATGTGCTTGCACGACGTGGTAGATGGGGACCGATTGCATCCGAGTAATTGAACGCAGTAGCGAAAAAAAAGGGCGAGAAATACAAGTGCAGAAAGTTCGAACTAATGTAAAAATACTAGATACTTGGTTTATTAATAGATATTTGGTCTCATATAATTTTAAGACGTGACTGCGATAAAACTAAACATACATTTACTAGCATGATCCAAAGATATTAAACCCTAAAGAAAAATTATCCACTCAAGCAATAATTAAACTCTAGACACACATTTATTCTACAACAACCACTAAATTAGAATAACGTACAACTCGCGTTATTTACTATATAGTTTAGACCAGCGGTTCGTCGTTCACTTCAGACTTAATTTCTGTTAGATTCAATAGGGTTATCAAACATTCGTCAACTTAAAGCGTAATACATCTTTGGGACGTTACCTTCATAGTGTATAAAATACACAATATCAATCGCTATCTTATCTCTAGTCATCCCTTGTAAAGTCAACCAGGTTTTTTTATACGTTAGAATCGACAAATTCTTCTTCGAGTACCCATTTTAAGAAATCTTAAAATCTTAAATCTTATAATAATAATAATAATAACTAGTGTTCAATTCAATATCGTTTAGTTAATCAAAGATATTTTTTGCTATTAGTTCACTGACCGAATCATAGTAGACTTTGTAGAGATAAAGTATCTCGAATCCCAGTACCCACAAATCATCCCATTTAAACAGAGCTTAGCGACACGGTCATCCGTATTTGGCGTTGTATTACCCAAAAGGGATTTAAGCCCGGCTAACGACACATAGATTCGGTGGCCAATGAAGTCTGGAGAGTAAAATATTCTTCGTAAGTACTCCCTATGTTCAATTAAGTGTAAAAGTTTTTAAAAAAAAGACTTTGTTTAGGTGATATAACATTATTTAATATTCAATATTTTATATTATTATGATAATTAGTAATTTATCTTATTGGTAAATACATAATTATGATATAAAAGATAACCATAATAATAAACGGTTTATTAATCTTGTTAACATAAAACTTGATATCTTTTGCAGTTATTTAAGTTTCAAAAATTGAATCATGTTTTGTCTTCATAAAATCGTAAACCCATTAGCACGTTAGATGCCAGGTGTCCGAGTCCAGTTGTTTGGGAATCACTTGAACTAAGACTGCTGGCACTACCTATACTAGATAATGTGTTAAAGAGCTTTATCACGCTCAAGTGTGTAATAATATTCGTTCTAAGCAAGTTACAATTCATATTTTGATGATGGTATTTATAATAATTAGAAATCGTTGTTTGCTTTTAGTAAAAATAAAAACAACGCATGTGTGTACAGTATACTGCTTATACAGTAGTGTATCATTTGGACGTCCAACACAATAGAAGTAGTTTTTAAATTGTTTTATGTTTTTTTTAAAGTCTGTTGTACATGCATTTATAGGCTTAGTGATTCATTGCCGTATGACATTAGATTTATTATTAACACGAAAATGTATTTCTTTGTTAAAAAACTAAAAGATGTCTATATTTAGTACCTATCATTTTTGTTGGATCAATTTTTAGTATTTCATTTAAAATGTATAACATATTAACATGTTAAACAACATATTAAAATGTTGATGGGGTGAAAAGTGAGCTCTGATAAGAATAATACCACAAATAAGTTAAAATTAAGCCCAAGAATAGTCAGCTCTTAAAAAGTAGTTAACTCGGCGGCTTAGGAGATGTCGTGGGACCAAATGCAAAGATAAAAATATCACTTTCAAAAAAAAAATACTGTCTTTGGTCGGAATCGAAGTTATAACTTCACCCAACGTTTGGCATCGGTAGGTGGAAAATAGGAGTTTTGTTAAATAGGTATAATAAATATAGAATAGGATGAAGGTCATAGAAATATATTAATTACAAAAATAATATAAACCTTGAGTTTTAATTAAGTTCACATTAAAATGAGCATTAAAAATATGGTAACAAATTTTATAAATAATTAACAACAAATTTTGTCAACAGTATTTTCGTGTAATTGCAGACTTTCGTTTTCTTTTTTCGACAACTTTTGTGGTTGGTGATTTAGTAGAGTTACCCTCGTGGTTATCCACTTGAATACTATCATCGGTTTTAGCGGTACTGACTTCTGGAAACGCTATATTGAGTAACAGCGTTTCAATGCCAATTCGGGCTCTTAGTTTATTTTCTGGCGAAAGTGCGGAAAACATAGGTAAAAGACTAAGTAAGAAATGCTTGTCGTCAGAGAAGTTTTCACACTGATTACAACATATAGCGTCAACGACGTCGGCATCGTTTTGACTTGATAGATCCTTTACTGAAGAATATGACAGTTTTAGAGGCTCTTCAGTCATTTCTATCTCAGGATAAATATTTTGGTATTGCATATCCGACATGTATACCGAAGTCGATGCGGAATGGGTGATTTGATCTTTAATAAACATCATGCTTTGAAAATATGGCCACTTTGATACTTCCTGGCCACTATCCATAGCTAGGCAACGCTTATATTCTTTGCGAAAGTGGTCTTTCAAGTTTTTCCATTTACCTCGAGCAATTTTTCCTGTAAATGAAAAACACAGTGAGGAAAATTATTTTATTTCCACTCAGAACTTCATAACTACCATTAACTGTTATAAAATAATATTTTTATTCATTTTGTAATCAGGAAATTAATGAGATCTTCAAATTTGAAAGGACCCGATTTTATATTAGCTTTGATACGGATGTTTTGTATATGAATCCACAGTAACATATTAAAAACTGAACCGAATTGTTCGCATATAAAGTCAATCGATGAAAAATCGTAAGCCTTAAGAGTATTACGTAAGGCTAAAATTTGAAAAACTCACCTCATCCTTTTGATATCAAGAAAAATTCACTAACAACTGACGTCCTTTTCAACATGACCATAAAAACGCTTAATATATCCGAAAAATAGTCGAAATAGTTTAAAAATTGTTTGGGTATTTGTCGTCTAAACTTTTGAGTAAAACAAAACAAAAAAATCAAACAGCTCTTATTTAATAAAATTACTCTGATATCTTACAGAAAAAACGTAAAATGTATCCTTGAGTGTTTAATATTTGAGGTTAGAGGATATGCGCTTTAACAGATATTTTGTACCAATTATTTCCACAATATACCAAAAATATTAAGTACTTATATCATTATTTCACGACTTAGTAAGCAGGCAAACATATGGGACACAGAAAGGATTAAAGCTTTAAAATTAAAGTAATAATGCATGTAATTTGGAAATGGCAGTTTAGTTTTGGTGTACAGAGCTGTTCGTTGAATTCTTAAAATAAAATAAATATTTAGTTATTGATTAATAACACTTAATATTACTACTTAACAATATTAATAAATAATTAATGGTTTGGTATCTGATAATGTTATTATAATTTTGAGAAATTGGCGTAATGGTATACCGTTTTTCAAATATATTATTCCTGTGAACTTTACTAGTGCATGACACATTTTAAATTCGTTAAAGATGTATTAAAAAATTCCAAAGATACCAATTATAACTCAAAACAATGACCATGTATGCCGTTTAATACCGATTAAAAGAAAATACCTTACTTACGGTAAGGTAATAGTCGGAGATTACAGGGCAGAGATTTAAAGGACCTCTCAAGTATGTGAAAAGTCTAACCATTGTAGTTTTATGTTCAGTGAATGACTAATTTTCTTTTTAATAACGTGATAGTATTATATAGGTGTTTTAGAAAGCAGCCACATTTTGAAAATTCTATAACTTTTTTAATATTCGTCCAAAAAAACAATAACACATATATACCAATGTGTTCAGGAGGTCCTGACTCCTGAGATTTATGTACGTAACATCGGCTATATGACCGTCTGTCCTCGCCTTACAAGCCATAACGCGTTTGCAGATTTCGACGTCTAGATCACCCATCACTCGTCTGATTTCCGTGGCCACCAGTCTTGTGACCTTACCCCCTGCGACTTTTTCTTATGAGTAACACAATGGTATGTGTTATTTGTTTTTTGGACAAATATTAAAAAAGTTATAGAATTTTCAAAATGTGCCTGCTTTCTGGAACACCCTATAGTATGAGGTCTGAATTTTTTAGTTCTCCTTAAATTTACAAAAAAATAAAAATGTTTTGCCTATTATAATGTCGTCTGTCAAAATCGACTTTCTCAGCAACAATGAATTATAAGTGTTCTAGCTTTACCAACAAAACCCAAACATATAATTAATTTAAAGCCGATCTCGGCTTATCATTAAAAATAAAATTACCATTAATCCTAGTAGGTCGTAGGACAACAGGATGGTAGGGTAATTAATGCAATTTGTAAAACTCTTTGAAATTCCCAAATTATTTTTAAAAGAGCAAAAAAAAAATGTAGTAACATTTTTTTAAACAGAACTCTTTAGAACATATTATAATGTGTTAAATGCAAAAACGTTAATTTTTTTTCTAAACTAAACTGTGAAGCAAAGTTGTGAGTGTAGATGGCACCGAGAGACATGAAGGTACCGTCTCATATTTCATCGATGTTCCTTGGTGTTATATAGTGCACAGTGGCCTCATACTGTAGTTTCTAATCAGAACCCTGATCTAGGACATTCACCTAGGTCAACTCGATTCGTCACTGCATCTAACCAAATAGTTGAATGGCTCAAGCATCTCATTAGTATTCCAATAAAATTGATATTAATTATTATAGATATAAAATATAGAAAAGTAAGAAATTATAAATAACTGTAAACTGCACGGTTCTTTTTTTTATAATAGCAGATCTTTGGTCTGGTAATTACCTACCTTAAAACTTAATATTTAGCAACGTTTCATTTAGGAAATAATAAACATATTTATTTTTATTATTATCAATGTTTTTGTCTAATATTGTTATAGGTACCAGTTACAAATAGTCAAACATTTTTTTTTAGGGGAGGGGGGAAAGAGTCATGGATGTCAGAGTGGAGAGTGATGTCCCAGGGGACACATTCGCTCGAGTTTGGAACTAGGCAGGCTTTAATTCAGACAACGCGGCCAAGGCGATAGACGGTTGCGTCCACGTGGTCTTAGGGTAGCCGCCGCCAGACGTGTGTGAACGCGTCCTAAAACGCGTCGTCATTGCAGCCGCTAGCGTCTGGCCGCCGCCGCCACCGACGCCGACGCCACACCGCGCCGGCCGTTACGGATAGTGTCGGTTACGAGGAACGGGTAGGTCACGGGTGGGCGCGCGGGGCCAGGAGACAACAACGCAGTTCGGCGTACGTTGTGTCTGCCCATGGAAAGTTATCGACATAGAAGCGCTGCAATAAAATCATACATTATAACGTAACGATAACTGCAGTACCTACTTAATAAACGTCTAATGTAATGTCAATAATTGTTACATATTATTATATCGATTGTCATTTGTCGTGGCAATAAATACACTATGCCCTAATGACTAATGACGTGATTGTGATTTTACCGGTAATGTTGAGAGCGCCGGCCACGTCGTCCCAGTGATGGTCTAGTACGGATCTGTTATGGTGCTGGGGATGTTGCCTGTCCCAGAGTTCCGGTCGGCACAAGACTTCTGCAATCAGGCATTTCGTGTCCACCAAATTTGAATTTAGACCGGCCATTTCCAAACGATTGATTTGCGATTTTTCCCAGAAAAACAACACGACAATCTACGGACCTTGGTGACAAACAGATCTGATAAGAACACTATCGCAATTTATAGTGTGTACGTCGTATACGCGTGAGCCTCGCCGGACGTTTACCCGCTCCCGCTGCAAGCGGGCGGCCACCGTCGTCGCCGCCGGTTTGTGTCGATTCGGCGGCGGCAACAGTCTTGCCAACGTTGTTAACGTCGGCCGCCGCTGTTACCGGACGAAATCGCCCCGCCGTCACCACCGATCGGTCGCTGGTCAATATATCATTTTATCGCCAATTACCATAATACATGGGTATTGGCAACTTTAGCGGTTTATTGCACTCTAATGGCGCCGCTTTTGTTCCTATCCTGGTTTATGGCTTGTCCATGGATATGATTCTTCCATAAAGTTACCTTGACTGCAACGAAAGTACTTATTACCACGAATGATTACAAAGTGAGTGTATTAAACAGTAGTAATAGAATTACTGATGCAATCATACACCTACCACTTATTAAATACATTTAGAAGGATAAGAAATGTACGCTTAAAAGTTCGAATTTTACATTATATTTAGGTGTCGAGACTTTGCGACCTCTGGGTAAAAATGAAAACCATTTTCTAAAATAGTCCCCAATTCTGGTCAGATAATGTTATAAGGTCACCGAAAGCGCCCGTAGATGAAAAGAGAAGATGTTTCAGAGAAGCTAGTGGGGGGGGGGAGTTGTCCCACCCTGCCCTCCCCGTGGGTGCCCTTGAAGGTGTTACAAAAAACATTGTACAATTAAATATCAAATCAATTAATACAAATTACAAATGTTTAGTGATGCCAAGCGCCAAACTGGAAAATTTTTAAGTATACATATTTTTTGCAAGTCACAGTTAAAAACAAAAACCAGCTAAGGATTATAATAAAAATTGTTACAAATTACAAATTTTTGAACTGTCCGAATAGGTCAGTGTGCAAACTATAACGTTTAACAATATGTACGTTTTATGATAACATATTTTATAAAGTGACTAGGTACGATATTATTTACAAACACGGTCATAATCTTTCATAAAACTATTATCTTCAACTTTTTATGGATAATTTTATCCAAAGTATCGCTTGGATAACTCTTGCCCGCATGTAAAACCAGCGAATAACAGTCGCTGTGTACATACCTACAGGTAAATCACACTTCAGCGGTAATAGCCTGTTTTATATTTACGAGCCTATGGCGCCGGGTGACATAAAACGATGGAAGGCGGCCTTTTACCTTCGGGACTCGTGAACATTTACATGAAAGAACTCTAAAACCTCGTAGGTATCAAACAACCTGTATAATAAACATATTAAAAGAAAATATTTGTCTTATAAACGATTCAAAGAAGAGAGACATTAACGTTTTTTTTTATACATTTTTACCAAGAAAATGTGTAGGGAACAAGAGAAAAAAGGGTGTATCATAAAATTCTTAAAGTGTAATTACATATAACAATTCTAGATTTTTGACACGCTTGAAACTCTAGATTATTTCAAATATACGCGTAGTATACAACATGTTAGCAGTTAGAGTAAGGAACAATATTGCAATGACTACTTATGTTATTACAAATTAAAAAGTAATTTTATTTACTATTCATACTTAATAGATCATATCTATGTATAAGCTCATAAGTATTAAAAGTAAAAGTAAGAAGCAGGATAACCAAAGGAAATAACACAATTAAACTTTTTAGAAAAACATTTTTGTAGTTATTTCTTAAATTAAAAACTTATTTTTAATGGTATAAGAGCAGGGAAACATTTTCTAACATTTGAGACGGGGTTCACAATTATAACCTAAAAAAAAAATAACATTATTATGTAAGAACTCACAAATGTTTGTTATGAATACAAACTTACTGAATCTCATAAACATTTTAAAAAAGTAGCCATTTCAAGGAACGGATAAATAAAGACAAGCCTCTAATTTTTTTGGCCTATCTCTTAACTTTATGGGTCTACTAATTAAAAATAATATTTAATAAGGAACAGAAAATAATCGTAAAAACCATTAGAATATAAACGACTTGTAGAAAAATAATAACGAAGATGTTACTTAAATTGTGTACTCGTTAATTAAATCTTTAAGAACGAAGAAATAAATAATTCTCGTAAGCATTTAAACTGTATACATAATTTACGGAAATCTTTTAGAATAAAAATCTTAATAATTTACCTAATTATTTTAAAATATGTTAAATAATTGGAAGCACTGTCACTTTTCATTTAACATTTCACAATATCTAGAGATAAAATTTGCCAATACGGATGTTACAACAAACTTCTTCGAATAAAATTAATTTTGAAATTTATATCATTTTTGAAGCAAACAAATTAGCGAAAAATAATCACTCAAACCGATTGTCAGAAAATTACAATGCTAAATTCTCTTAGCGCTTTCTCAGTATCTCTTAAATCCTTTTCTGAGAGAATAATTTACATAAAATATTTTAACCAAGTAGATTACATAAAAAAAAACATCAAAGCTACAAGATACAAAACAATAATGAGCATTATATTGATATAAAAATGTCGATAATTGACGAACCCCGAATATTATATTATATCATATTTGCAACTGAAAAAATTAAAGTATTGAATGTCATTTAAAGGATAACAAATATGAGAAGATGAAAGTGTGATGTCGGATAGACACAGTGGGAAAATATGGTAAAAGTTGCATGTACAATAATATATTTTGGGGTTTGGTATCCCAAAATATATTATGTTGTAAGTCGATGGAAGATAAAGTAACTACGAGGAAGGACATTAGTGATAGCATCGGCGTTTTTATCGTTTGAAGACCTAATTTCTTTTTTAACTAAAAATTGAATTGGTGGTACATTGGCCATTATACTGTTTTAGCTCGTGTACTACGGTACATTTTTATAAAACGTCTGATATCAACGACACAGTGCATTTTTTTAAAAATTAAATTATGTATAGCATAAATTAACCCAAGAGTTTTCTACGCGTTTTGTAAAATTTTAGAAGCCAGTAAGTTACAACTATTTTCTGTTAGAGGCAATGCCTATGTTCCTTAAATACATAGAATGATATTGATAGTATTATACATTTTCAGACGTCGTACTGGTAAAATTATAAGAAATGCACTTATGACACCTGCACAGGACCGTCTTAAGCCACGCATGGGCCCTTGGGCACACAGAGTTTGGGGGGTCCTTTAAGAAAACGTAAAGATGTAAATTGTTTTACTCGGGGTCCCCATTAGGCCGGGGGCCCTGGACTGGTGCCTCACGTACCCTTAGGGTAAAAATGGAACTGCACTTGCATGCACTATGCCGTCGTGTGTATATTTTTACAGTGAATATTTTTATCACGCTTAAAATAAAAGAAGAACACAAAGCGCTTATGAATTTAAAAAACGCTCGGTCGACCACTCTTTACCTGATCTCATTTGTTGATTATCATTACTTTCTTACCAATTTGATTTTCGATAAACGTCCGTAAAGCCTTGTTCGACACCGTCATCGTTTCGTATTCGGTCGACTATGAGACTATACGCGTTTTGAGATATTCTATATCATGGTGTACTATCGGATGGACGTTAACACGCGGACTCCGATATGAAAAGATACACATCCGTCAGCGGGCGCGGTTTTCACAGTGAATATTAATAAGAATAGTAATATAATTATTGCGTTTTGTCCCGCGCCCGTTTAAAGTATCGGTGACCCAGAAATATGAAGCGTAATGGGTTTTAACGACCTGCGAGGTACCACCGGGGGAATGAGAGAGAAAACGAATCAGCTCAAACATCCATCAACCGCAGTGAAATAGACCCGCGCGCTGCCGCTGCTGACATCAGAGCCGGGCCTCGACGACGACCGGCCAAGGTGGTCCATGACGAATCGACCGAATGATATTAGTGAATACTACAAACGAAGTTAAACGCCTTGGCACCGGCCGGGGTAACGAGCCGGCAGATAGATTATAGGTACCTTGTATCCTACCCGACGAGGTGCGGCATCACGCACAGCGTAGGTATAAGTTCATCGAGTGATATTCGTTACAATACTTAACGACGTGTAAAAACGACCATCTTCTTAAAACGGTTACTTGATTACTCGAGTTCCGGACGCCGATAATATTGTTATTATTATGTACATTATGATATACGTGTCTTTTATAATATGACGGCTGCAATGATTTATCGATCATCCGCCACAGTACGGCTCGTCCGTTACTTCATAGTGTATCATAATATATTATTATATACTTCCTAATTTGTATAGTCCGCACAGCCGTTGTACGAACCGGTATGAATAATAATTGAAGGGGTGAGTGGATGAAAGTGTTAACTTACATTTTGTGTTAAATAGTTTTTAGTTTGAATGAATGAAAATGTTAGCAATATATTATTATTACACAATTTAGCAAAATATTATAGCAGACGAATGTGTGTTGAGCTTAAAAATGAAAAAATGTCCTACTATTTGAATGAATATGTTATAATTTCGACTAAAATGTTGCTGTTTTAAAAATTGTCAGTGTACACCTTTATCCACTCACCACTTTAACTTTTATGACGTAGGACGTAAGTCCGATACTGTCGACTTTCAGAGGGGGGGGGGGAGAATTATTTATATAATATTATCGTATTATAAATAATTCTATTAATAATGCGTTAATTTTTTTTAGCTGTATGCTCGACTACGGAAGAAGGTATCCGCGGTCGACTCGATGTCGGTTCGATCGATCCAGAAGACTTGAAGCGTCGTATCAATCATTTGGACACGATAGTTTTCCATTGCCAGCTAGTACAATATGCCGGCTAAGGACATACCTACTATAATGATAAATACAATGTTACATGGTTTGTGTTTACAGGCATACACGGTTCCAAACCCCGGGGGCGGGTTCGGTGCATCCGTCTTTCTTATGTACTATTATTAAATTATATCCCCAGGTTTACACCGGTGCACGTGAAACCAGATTATCCTATACCATATACGATTAAAGTTATAGCTGGCCGTCGTTACAATGACATTTCGAGATGACTGAACACCGATGAAAAACAATAGGATTTAATGAAAGTGTCAGTTCCGGTGTTCGGACGCTCGGCCAAGTGCCGATAACGAAGAGCTTGGATATTGGAATTTTATCCCTCTTAAAAACGTCTTGGCTGCGCATTAGTTTTTTTTTTAAATAAAGAACCGCGTTATTTAAATAATATAATATTCATAACATTACAAAAAAACGAGTTTATCGACTTAATCATTCGTTTTTGTTTTTGCGGCGCGGCAATTATATTTTATACCCATCGCTTATAAACTTTAGTACAATAATAATAATATAATCATTATTAAATACGTTGTTATTGTTCTGTAAACGGAAAGATATAATATATACCATAATATTCTTATTTTTTTCTTTTTTTAACCGTTACAGTGTCAAAGGGAGGATGGAAATATGAATTATTCATTTGAGGTTCGCACGACAAAAAAACAAATTATGGCTTTTTCTTTTCTCTCTCTTGTTGACTCAAGTCCGTTACGGTACTGTTTGGTAAAAACCGTTAGCGGCGATTGCCAATAATTACAAGTATCCAATTTTAATTGGTCTTTTAAACGGCCATTAAACGTGCAATAGTATTATAATTTTCCTTAATAAAATTATACAACTACGATCATTATAAAACGTTTCCCCGCTAAAAATAGAAATATATAATATTTTTTCCATAATACATACTAATGTTAAATATTTTTATTCTTTTCCCTTTGTGAGGAATTTAGCAACAAAAAGCTTCTCCCTAACTGACACCGAACAAAATTTACGAGACCATAGTACTCCACACAATCTACATTAATAATAAAGATACACGTCACGCGACTCACGTAGAGTTTGTGACTTTAAGGAAAAATATTTTTATAATATTTTATGCGGTGGTGTGTTTTTTGTATCTACAATAACTTATCCTCGTTGTTTTTGTATTTTGCTTGGCATAATCGTTTTAGAATACGTTCAGCAGTATAAAGAGCAAACAAGTTACAAGAATTGGCAATAATCCAAAAACCTCGAATGCTTAAAATCTTACAATTCTCCAAAATTATATACCAAATTATATTTATTAATAACGTTACACTGTATTTTCGGAATCAGAGTCGTTAAATGTTAACCACATGACCAAATAACTGATTTTGCGATAGTAAAACGGAAAAACATATTTTGTCATTTTTCATTGAAACTTGAATAATGTAGAATGTAAGTAAAATATATTATTCTAACATTGATAGCCTGATGGCCGGTTTACATTTGCATCAATTTTACTTAAAACATAACTATAGTTTTACAGTACTGAAACTATAGGCTTGAACTCTAAAAGCCAATTTATCAATTTGTTTCGCCTTTTAATTTTCAAAAATGCATATTTTTGGACATAAACGTGTGTTTTCAAAGTTTTGTTTTATATAGACTTAAGTATTATTTCGTTTAGTAGCCAAATTTAAATGTATAGTACGGATCACATGGACTTAATAATAAGGGTGTCACGCGATTATAGCTAGAGTTTTACAATTCTATCCCTTTTTTCCATTCTGATACTACTACATAGAAATTATTATTACATAATACAGTTTAAAAGCCCCGTAACGGATTAAAAAATCGAGTAAAGGCGTACACCACATATTTTCGCCCGAGCGTTCATTTATAATTTCTCGTTTATTTTTAAACTAGCATAACGTGTTACCTACTTTTTTTTTTTAAGGAAAAACTATAATTTATCCTTTGTAACGTCAATCAACTCCTACTGCAGTGTGTCGGATGTTTTCGTGCACAGGTGTGCTTTTCAAAATCAAATGAAAACTGAATAATACATGTAATGTAATTGAAAATAGTCGGCGTGGTGATCCCCCACGCGATATGGTAACAACTATAACAACTGCCATACATTCGCTCTGGATAACCTGGAGAACAACGGTATGACAACGATGACTGTGTATCGGCTTTTATAATATATAGGATCACCCGCCGTGGCCATATGGTCATTGCTTGTAAAACGCGTTTTTATTGTTTTAAAAGAGTCGCTCTCGCTTATGGTCTTTACAATACTTTGAGAGGTACTATAACGACACTGGGTTCGCCATAATATAATTATTGCCTGCTAGCAATACGTAAAGGGAATAATATGCAGAACGAAGAGACAAAACTATTTATCATCCGGAAACGGACCTTCCTTCAGACGAGGGGTAGGTCTCGCCCAAGTATGAAGAAAACCAAAGGGGCTGCTATAGTGACGTATGTGTTTTACAGCAGTGGCAGCATTTTAGTTTAGCAGGTAATTAATTTCGATTTATTGCTAGCATAACCATATAGCACCACGAGAAACCAAACTCAACCAAACTTCTTCAATGCGCGTACGCTGTCGTTACCGGTCACCATAAATAGCAATACACTTATTCATCTCTTACACCAATAAATTGTTTTCATCTATTTCTTTAAATTAAAATAATAATTTCACTGATAAGTAAACTGATACACCTATAGTTAAAAATAGGTTAATGAATTCTACAAAATACCTACTAAGTTTATTAGGTTAGCTTAATTTCTACAAAACAATTTTGTAAATAAATACTTTTAGTTTGTATATACATATTGTGTTGTGCATTACCTATTTAGTACTATAATTATATCATTGTTTATAAATATAATATATTAAGACATAAATATAATAAATAATTACACGTGTGCATAAAAGGGCATTTATTTAAGAAGAAACGAAGATTGACAAGAGATAAAATATAGATAAAATTTTTTTTTTTATTGTAATATCAGCTTATAATTATTTATTTCTACGATTACTAGAATCTCAAAATTAACTTATCTAAAACTTAAAATTATGTTGTACAAAAGATGATGGTATTTAAAATGCAAAACAAATGAAAATAAAAAAAAATTAATAAATCTGTCTGATAATTAGACCAATCTTGTAAATAATTATAAATTATTATAGCTTTTTAGCTATACTGGTTTCATGCCGAGTCTTGTTTATTATTTATTAGATAAATACTTTATTCATTTAAAGTCTTTAATCGTTAAAAAAAAAAGAATCGTTAATTCCTTAGTTTACCGGTTTGAACAAGTATTTTGGTCTAGCAAAGCCACTATGCAACCCGAAAATAAATCGTAATATTTGTTGTGAATGTTTAGCTTTATTTGTACAATAAAGATCATCGCGATATATATTTTTCTTCGTGTGGGGTCCATGCAATAATTTTTGTTTATGCCGTGATATTTTTATGTGACTATATCTTATACGTCAGTATACATGAAAAAACACTATGATAGCGAAATCGAAGTATTAAGTTTCACATTGTAGCTCAAAAACTTGTGATTGCCTATCTTGCGGTATAATATAATTTACATATTATACCACAAGATAGTTAAAAATCCAAATAATTTATTTCACTTACTGTGAAATGTAATGTCACAAAATGGACGGCGCGCTTCAAATTTTAAATTTACTATTTATGTATATATTCTGTTTGGTTTAGTGTGTTAAATATTTGTCATGTCATGGTAAATTTAAAATAACCAAATCTAAAGAAGACGTTACCCAGCCATTAATTTAGGTGTAAAGTATAGGCAATTTTTCGCAAAATTTTAATCTTGAGATTTAACTATATTTTATACTTCTTAATACCGTAATAACGGTTTCTTTATTAGTTTTTTTTTGTCCAGCTATCACAGTAATTATTATAGAAAAAATTACATTTTTACTATCAAAAACAGTCTTGAGCAGATTAAAACCAAAGTATCTTGGAATTGTTGTAAAATAATAAAATGTTAATTAGAAGAGAACTTTACCTTTCCTTAAGCGTTTTTAAATTTTCAAAAATTAAATCCACTCATTTTTTAAAAAATTATTGCAAAGTACTAAAAAACCTTTATCTTTAAAAACGTATAAAAAAAAATTAATTGCTCTATCAAAAAGTTGTCATGCTTTAGAATAGATAATATTCTCCCCTATTTTTCTATGAAAAATTGGCGAATTGTCTACTAACACCGCCCTCTACAGTATTCATTCGCACAAAACTGTTTTCACACTACAAACTATGGATACTAACCCGTGGAAATGGCGGTTTGTTATGTAAATATTTTTTTAATTTGGATTGATCTGTGATAAAAAATAAATGAACAGACCAATGTCAGCTTATACTCGAGGAAAATCCAAGTTTAAGTACATACGACGTATTCGGTTGTTTAAATCATTTGACGATGAAACATATACTACACAATATGTTATGGGAGTGAGGGATAAAGCGAATTGATAAGATTCAAATGCATGTCTAACTTATATCTTGTCTCTTCAGCAAATATCTTTGTAGGATAATTTGGTTTCCTTTCGCGGCCAACTTGATAAAATGTTTATAATTTCGATCCTCCTAATTTTCACACGTGACGTATTTACGTTAACATTATGCGGGTGTATCAGCCTACCTAACTTTTTTTAAGAGGACTTTGGTTGAGGAGGATTTTGTTTCTTTGGAGCTTACCGCATAATTATTTAGATGTTTGTTCCCGAAAATTTGCAAATATACTTTTTTACATAAGCCAACAAAAAGATTTTGTCAGGCAGCTGTTAATTTTCGTCAGTAAATTATTAATTCTTCTTTGTATAACCGTTGTACCTTAAAACTGCCTCCTTGTTTATTTAATAAATTACTATGTTAATGTAAATCCACTTCACCGATGGCCAACTTGATATAAACAAACAAAAAGACGGCGCCGCTTGAAAGTTTGAATGAATATAAATGAATATAACCAATGACATTGTTTACTAATTCTGAAGTATTTAGTTAAAACCGTAAATTACCGACAACTTATTAGTTGAATAATGGATGTCACTGGCTAAAGACATTTAACTTTTTTGTCAACAGAAATATTTTTTAAGGAATTTAAAATCTCACATTATTATTGCTTGGTTAAAAAATGAATATACTCAGCGATGGAAAAAAAATTATTTTTTAAACAGTGTTAATGGTCGTTCAGGTGGTCCAAAATTTTAAAAATATAATGTAGAATTTTGGTGGCCCGCCGAAAAATCTGGACTTATTTGCACTTTTATTTTTTTAACCTTAAAGTAGAACTCTCTTTCTTGCAATAACTTCATTAGAGACAAGAGTCCACAAACTTATTTCAAACAAGCAGTAATAATTAATGTTATACATCAAAGATGTTTAATCCTTAAATAAGCTTCAATTATTTTTTAGTAATTAAACTAATTTTTTATTTAAAAAAAGTTATATTAAAAAATG